AAGGTGCAACTGTCTGTTTAAAACAAGAAATTCCGTTAGTTTTTCCGTTAAACCAAGAAATTCCGTTAGTTTTTCCGTTAAACCAACAAATTGACACTTTTTATATAGAGAGAGATATAATAATGATTATTCTTATTTTTATAAAATCAAATATTATCTTAATCATGTGATTGGACACAAATTTAAACTTACCCCACCCTGTCCGGACAATAAATAATGCATTTATTTGTAGATAATAATTCATCTGTTTTTTTGTGTCGGTTGCCAGTGAATAATTAATTGGAGGTAATAGCCATTAAATTAGAGATTATGGGGATTCTGAAAATGTCGAGGGACTGATTTTTGCAAGTGTAAATTAAATGATAGGTGGAAAATGTGCCGCGTTCTTGCCCCTTTATTTCCCGAAAGGATACTAAGGTGACCATGAACTTGTGTTTTTTTTTTTTTTATGTTAGTTAAGACATTACACCAAAATTGGGTCAAGCGATTAAATAAAAATTAATTAAGATATACGAATGGTTATGGAAGTTGCCCAATATAAAGGTTTTTCCAATCCGCATCAAAGGCGGGGATGCGAGTGAAATGAGAACGGAAGCTTCACCTTTCTATCTAAGTAGAAGAGAATGCGCAAGGAAAAAAAGATGACAAAATATTCCGACCTCGCTTTGCCCTACGTTGCTGCCTGAACTAATAGGGAAGCGATGGGATTGGGGAACCGGTCCCTACCCCCCGACTTTTAATTTTTAATGTTCTCAAATTTAAATTGCATTTGGAAAACAAAAAAAAATGAAAAAAAATTAAATGAGGAACATGCGAGAAACGGAGATATTTTATTCCCTATAGTGCGTCGGTCCATTGTATACATAGTAAGAGACAACGTCGGATAAATTCATGGAGACTAGGACAAAGTTCTAGGCTTCCAAATTTCGGTTACTATAAATACATTTACAAAATCTTATTAAACTTGCAAGTTCGAAAGTAATCAAAAGCCAATAGATACAATGACCAATAAATTGTATCTTTAGGGTTTTATTTTACTTTTGCACATTTAGTTATGGAGGATATCGAACTCCTCTTATATCTTTCTATATATAAAAAGTGCATATATAAATATATATATATATTTCTATCGTGGCCAGTATTTTATTTATCAAAGAAAAATTCACATAATATATTACACCTTGTATAACTTTTAATTTACACCTATATTAATACATTAATTTTCAAAGTATATAAATAGTGCATGAACTTAAAGAATCAGATTAAATGAATTAAGATAATCGTTCAAAATTACACTACACCATTTTAAATGGTTTTTAAATCATCCAAAATCTGTTCCTCAAAAAATCTAGCAAGCACCAGTTCTTATAATCTCTCATAAACGGTGCCACCCAAAATTGGTCAAAATCGATGAAAATAAAACTTCCAAGTAGCGGTGGCAAAAAAGTTCGGAGGCTCGGATGGCTCGGGCTCGGCTCGGAAAAAGCCCGAGTCGGGCCCGGCTCGGGCTTGATGGAACCGAGCCAAGGCTC